CGTAGGATCAACCCGCCCCAACCTCGAATTTTCTGAAAAATGGTTCGACAACACACAAGAAAAGTTCGTTTCCGTCATCAACCGAACCCTACAAGGATATATTGATCAAAACCTCTCGATACACAAACTCCATCTGGACTTATCGAGGCCCGACTCACGACCGGCCGTCTCCCTTCTCGACAAATGGATCCCGATAATCGCCGCCCTCAACATAAAAGCTTTCAAACTCAACTTTCGTTCATTTCCTCCGCCGTACTACGACTTGCCCTCGGCAGTCATCTTTTCCGAGTCCCTCCAAGAACTAGACCTGAGCAATTGCAGGCTGAGCCCGGTCCAGAGCTTGCGGTTCAAATGTTTGCGCACACTCACCCTCCAAGACGTCCAATTTGATGGTGGAACATTCGAGAAGATAACTTCGGGTTGCCCTTTGCTCAGGCGCCTCGTCCTTCATTTTTGCGAGGGGTTGAGAAACGTTAGGCTGAGCGAGGCGGCGTTGCCTGGCCTCAAGTACTTTGAATTGTGTGATCGTGAGATCGTAGGGCGTAGCATCGAAATCGATGTCCCGAATCTCGAGACGGTCACCATCCAGGGCCCATGGATTTGGTGTCACCGCCAAAGCGAATTCTTGTTCTCTCGTCTCACGAGTTTGATTCTGTGTGGTGTGATCCTATCGAGTGAGTCGTTCGACCTGTTATCGTTCGGCTGCCCGACACTTGCAAGCTTGGCCATATATAATTGCTCCGGTTTCAAAGAATTCCATCTCGCAAGTGATTCGGTCAAGTACTTGACCATCTGGACCGATGAAATATTGCTTAAAGGAGTTACGATTTGTGCCCCCAACATTGTCAAGTTTAATTTCACTGCCCTTATTCCCCTGGCACTGGACACATTCTCTCTTGCGACTAATTCCAAGAAGTGGTACTCAAGTGTAAGCCTCTCTTCAGGTGTGAATGATCCCGATTTCAACGTCAATTCGTGGTTCCTTGCAGTGAGACGATTGCTCAAGGCAATAAGTGGGTCTCGAATTTCTCTGATTCTGGAGATGGACGGCGGCCCTCTGAACGTGCCCTGTAGTGCTGTTCTAGGTGACGAGCCGCCTGTGGTGGTGGACAGTTTGGAATTTAGTACTCGTAAATGGCGCACGGCATCTTGGTACTCGGGCTTTACGAATGGTTTGTTTCGTGTTTGTCGACCGAGGCATGTAGGGAATGGTACCCTTGTCAGCGGGTCGTACTGGAAGTACAGGCTCTCGGAGTTTCAGTTAAACATCTTGCTTGCTAACAAGAGCCTCTGGACCAAGACCTACTTTTGGCAGCATGATTTGGAGCAAGTGCACGTCGATGGGCAGCTCGTGCAGTACACATACTTGTTGGGATTGCGAAACAGGACATATGATGGGACAGTGTGCCTTGAGTTGAAATGGAGAGGTCAGACTTCTCGGATTTCCGAAACAGGACGTATGACTGGACATAGTACTGCGCTGGCTTGCTTTTCTAGTTACTGTATATGGCTCTTGCTTTTAATCGTGTTATTATTTATCAGGAGCTGGTGAATTAGGCTGCAAAAAAGTATGTACAATGAAGAGAAAGAAAGAAAAGTGATCTGACGTTTTTTTGCCTGGTTTTGAAAATCAGTTTTGGACAATTAAAATATACAAATGCGTTTAAATTTTTCAATAGTTATGTGATTCTGTCATGGTTTTTGCCAAAAACAATAGTCTTAAAGTCGTACTTTTGCGTGGCAAATTAATCTGAGGATTGTGAGGGTTGTGAATTGGCATGTTCCTTGCGTAGCAACTAATGACTCCTTCTCGGCCGGTACGGCCGACCGCGATTTCTTTCTGGATTTTAGGTCGGCTATCTTAAGATTGTGAATGGGTTGGTTTCTTCTCTTTGCCCTAGGCAGGATTGATATAGTGTGATCTTGTCGAGTGAGTCGTTCGACCTGTTATCGTTCGGCTGCCCGACTCTTGTGAGCTTGACCATAGATAATTGCTCCGGTTTCGAGGAATTCCATCTTGCAATTGATTCGGTCAAGTGGTTGAGCATCTCAACAAGAAAAATATTGCTTAAAGGAGCTTCCGTTTGTGCCCCGAACGAGGTCAGCAGACGGCATAAGTATTGTAAAGTGCAAACTATCTATATTGTTACTTCATTCTTTGGAAATGTCAGCGACTCATTGTGAAAGCGAAAACCTGTTTGGTCACATATTTGTGAGCAAATATGGATAGTTCAACTCGTTTGGAGCTATTACCTTTTTAGTTGAATATACATGGTTCTTTCTTTTATAATACAAGGAAGACCCACGTGATATTGTTGATTTTTTTTTTTTTTTAGAATTATTTTTATTATTAGGTTTAATTGAATAGGTTATTTAACAAAAAAATGGAGTATTTTATGATAAACAATAATAAATGTATTGGATAAATATAATATTCAATACTATTAACTAAACTCTATCAAATAATATTGAATAAAAAAATATCAGGACGTTGAAAATCCAAAATAAAATTAGTATTTTTTTGTGAAATTTTTAAAGCTAAAGAATTCTATGTCGTCGTTGATTTGTTAATTAATAATATTGTCATTGTGCTTAAAATAATGATCATTATCACTGTCGACAGAATATAGTTTTTTAATATCTTCCTTTTGCGTTATACTCTTTGAAAAAAAACTCGAAGTTGCTACTATAATTTGTAATTATCATTTTTTTATTGTTGATTGGAAGCTAACTCAAAATGATTGAATGTTTTGTTTTCTATTATTCTGATTATAACAGTTGCAAAATAAATTATATTTTCACATATAATATTTCATAATACTTACATATTGAAAATATCTTTAAAGTCCTAATTATTTAAAAATGANGCAACGCTAGAAAAAAAAAACACTCGAAACTAAACTAACTAACAACACAAACAACTAAAACAAACTACAAGGACTCCAATAGGGTAATACCCGAGTGTCGGATCCTAACAGGATAATAAGTTTGACACTCGCGCTCACAGGGGCCAACGACCCAAACCAAAAACACAATACACTCACAATACAGATACGGACATATAAACAAAAACACAAGAACAACAACATAAATAAACTAAAATAAATCTAACAGCCCTTGCTAGCGAACGAGCTAGCCCGAACCAGCCGTGAACGACACAAGACCAATCCAGGCCAAGAACCTACTACCGAAACTGCAATCAAGCCTATACAGCAGTAGAACCCTCACCCCAAACCAGTTCCGAATCGACCCATCGAAAACCGAGAGAGTTCATAATCCACCACTCCAATTCCCTCCGAACTCTTCTAACACCACTAGATGAGGTCGATGGAACCTCCATCGACGCCTAACACCAATAAGCAAGCGGAGGATTGAGCAAGAGGAAACGACCCTCCCCCCGACCGCCGCGACAAGGAACGCCACGGTAATCAGAGTCCAGCCCCTCCCAATGACTCGCACTCCACCCGTCATCACCATGGACAACCATAGACAAGCAGCGGGTCCACCAGAAAAGTGAAGTGCAGCCGGAAAACATCAATACCCGCAATAGCGGACAAAGGGCAGAAAACAGAGCTAACCGTCTCCGGTGGCTGAAAGGAGATTCCAATCGTCGGCCTTACTTCGACCTTGAGGTGCGCCACCGTTGTCCTGAGCTCCATCTGCAACAACGAACATGACGCTCCGTCAACGGCAATCTAAAGCAGTAAAAGGGGCGCGCATCACCAGGGGAGGAGCGAACGGTGGATGACGACCACTAGCCGAGCTTTTCCGTCGCCGAGGAAGGCGGATTCACCGTAAAGAAGAGAACCTGCAAGAGAAATTGGGGTTTCGTCTCGAGAGAGAAATTGGGGATTTGTTTCATCCCAAACTTAATGTGAGTTTTAATATTGTTATTAATGATAAATATAATACAGTTTGCTATGAAACCAACAGTTGGCTCCAGAGTCAACCTTCTATATACACCAAGTAAACCATACTATATTAATAAAATTATTAGTATTATTTAAGTAATCAGAGAATGGAGTATGTTTTACTTGTCATATATAGAAGGTTGACTTCATAGCAAAACTGATTGTCCAAAAAAACATTATTGTTGCATCTCCTAACATTGTCATGCATGACTATCATTTTCGTTCAAGGATTTTCAAGACTATCCTAAAAGTGAAAAATAATTCCATTTTAAATGAGTTATAAAATTATGATTCATTCATATTTTACTCTTATCTTAATATTATTTTTATATATTTGTCAATATTTTTTTAAAGTTTATATTTCCTACTTCTAAAAAGTTATTGAAATTTTTAATTTATGGATGATTTATAAATATGATTGGCTAATGAAAATAAATTTAAAGTAAATGTACTATTTATTTTTATTTCATTGGTTTAATTTTAATTATATATCTTCTAACAAGCACACTGTTTAGTATAAATATGTGGGTATGTGGTAACCGAGTTACCCGACTCGGGTCGTTCTCAAAGTCAAACACAAGTCATCACTAGTTAAAAATAAATAAATGTGAGTCAATTGCAATTTATGCCATTACAATTGAAAAACTAAAGTAAAATAAAATAAAATATAATATAAGTAACTAAAATTTACATCTAGTTAACTAAAGTTTACATTAACAATTTCTAAAAGTTTACATTGACATCAAAGTAACCAAATACATTATTTACTTGGAATTTCTTCATCCCTTCACTCTATTAGATTTGACTGACTAAAATTACTTGTGTAACAAATCTGGGTAAGTTTTGTTAAACTTTGAGACAGAATAGACATATTGCATAACAAATCGCAAGTGTTAACAAACTATCACATATTTTCGCATACATATCTATTTATCCTTTACTCTAACAAACTCATAGGATTGGAAATGATTTTATATGTTTCTAACAGATTCAGTCATAGAAGACTGATTGACTGTGTAACTCATGTTTTAATAAATTCTTGAAAAAAAAAAAAAAAAGCAAGAAAGGGAGGAGAATGCCTCCGCAGCCATGGACGACAGAATATCCGAATTGCCAATTCCTATACGTCACCACATTCTCTGTTTCCTCTCCCAAAAAGAAGCTGTGAGAACTTGTCTCCTCTCCAAACAATGGCGCCACGTAGGATCAACCCGCCCCAACCTCGAATTTTCTGAAAAATGGTTCGACAACACACAAGAAAAGTTCGTCTCCGTCATCAACCGAACCCTACAAGGATACCGCGATCAGAACCTCTCGATACACAAACTCCATCTCGACTTATCGAGGCCCGACTCACGACCGGTCGTCTCCCTTCTCGACAAATGGATTCCTATAATAGCGGCCCTCAACATAAAAGCTTTCAAACTCAACTTTCGTTCATATACGCCGCTGTATTATGACCTGCCCTCGGCAGTGTTCTTAGCCGAGTCCCTCGAAGAACTACACCTGAGCAATTGCAGGCTGAGCCCGGTCGAGAGCTTGCGGTTCAAATGTTTGCGCACACTCACCCTCAGCGTCGTCCAATTTGATGGTGGAACATTCGAGAAGATAACTTCGGGTTGCCCTTCGCTCAGGCGCCTGGTCCTTAATTTTTGCGAGGGGTTGAGAAACGTTAGGCTGAGCGAGGCGGCGTTGCCTGGCCTCAAGTACTTTGAATTGTGTGATTCTGAGATCGTAGGGCGTAGCGTCGAAATCGATGTCCCGAATATCGAGACAGTCTTTATCTTGGGCCCATGGATTTGGTCTCACCGCCAAAGCGAATTCTTGTTCTCTCGTCTCACGAGTCGTTCGACCTGTTATCGTTCAGCTGCCCGACACTTGCAAGCTTGGCCCTATATAATTGCTCCGGTTTCAAAGTATTCCATCTCGCAAGTGATTCGGTCAAGTACTTGAACTTGACCATCTGGACAGACGTAATATTGCTTGAAGGAGTTACGATTTGTGCCCCCAACATTGTCAAGTTTAATTTCACTGCCCCTATTCCCCTGGCACTGGACACATTCTCTCTTGCGACTAATTCCAAGAAGTGGTACTCAAGTGTAAGGCTCTCTTCAGGTGTGAATGATCCCGATTTCAACGTCAATTCGTGGTTCCTTGCAGTGAGACGATTGCTCAAGGCAATAAGTGGGTCTCGAATTTCTCTGATTCTGGAGATGGACGGCGGCCCTCTGAACGTGCCCTGTAGTGCTGTTCTAGGTGACGAGCCGCCTGTGGTGGTGGAGAGCTTGAATTTTTCTACTCGTAAATGTCGCACGGCGTCTTGGTACTTGGAGTTTACCAGTGGCTTGTTTCGTGTTTGTCGACCGAGGCATGTAGGGAGTGGTACCCTTGTCAGCGGGTCGTACTGGAAGTACAGGCTCTCGGAGTTTCAGTTAAACATCTTGCTTGCTAACAAGAGCCTCTGGACCAAGACCTACTTTTGGCAGCATGATTTGGAGCAAGTGCACGTCGATGGGAAGCTCGTGCAGTACACAAACTGGTTGGGATTCCGAAACAGGACATATGATGGGATAGTGTGCCTTGAGTTGGAATGGAGCGGTCAGACTTCTCGGAATTGCGAAACAGGACGTATGACTGGACATAGTCCTGCGCTCGCTTGCTTTTCTATTTACTCTATATGGGTCTTGCTTTTAATCGTGTTATTATTTATCAGGAGCTGGTGAATTAGGCTGCAAAAAAGTATGTACAATGAAGAATAAGAAAGAAAAGTGAAATGACGTTTTTTTGCCTGGTTTTCAAAATCATTTTTGGACAAAAAAATATACAAATGCGTTTAAATTTTTCAATTGTTATGTGATTCTGTCATGGTTTTTACCAAAAACAATAGTCTTAAAGTCTCACTTTTGCATAGCAAATTAGTTCCTTGCGTAGCAACTAATGACTCCTTCTCGGCCGTTACAGGCGACCGCGATTGCTTTCTGGTTTTTAAGTCGGCTATCTTAAGATTGTGAGGGTTGTGAATGGTTTGGTTTCTTCTCTTTGCCCTAGGCAGGATTTGATATCTTTTTTAGCAGGTGATAAGGGCTGTTAAGGGTGAAGGTAGGCTTTGTGATGATAAATTGGAAAATCAAAATTTGGGTTCTGAAATAATGTGGCAAATTCTATAGTTTGAGCCACATTAGGATTTTGTTCGGTCTCGTGGAACTTTGATCGAGTGTTATGGCTTGTTGAAGACATTTTCGTGTGAGATGTGACTTAGTTCCGGCGAGGTTACACCAAACAACAGATGGACCCTTCCTCTAGCGTCAAGATGTTGATGCAACGAGAACTAATTTTAATTGAAGCAAAAAGAGAAAAATAGACAATTTATTAATGCCGGACAAAAATGTTGTTCGGTCTTTTTCCTTAATTTTACTTGGAGAGAATATTCTCATGTCTTTTTTTACTGTCCCCCATTCAGTGAAAACCTAATACTATTTAAAGTGAAGTACAACTTTGTACTAATCTCTAGTGTAGTGATCGATAGGAGTGATCGATATGCCTTCTTTGATGCGAGTTATTTGGAACTGTCTGAACTGTTTGTTTTGTGGCTCTTTGGGATTAGATGATGGAAAAGGATTAATATCATAGCCAGAAAATTGTTTATTTTTCGAGCATTTCTTGTATGTTGTTCCTTTTTTGGCCCAGCAGATTAACTTGAGAGGCTTAGATGGCATTCAAGGCCCCGTATATGTCGGCACTGGATGTCTCTTCAACAGAACAACTTTGTATGGATATGAGCCTCCTCACAAACCTAAGCATAAGAAACCTGGTTTTCTCTCTTCCTCCTTTGACCAATCAAGTAAGAAAAAGTCTAAATCAAGTAGAAGGGATCTGACAAAAAGAAATCTAGCAAGCATTTATTCAGTCTCTCCTATTTCCCTACTTATCACAATGAGCATTTATTTCTGATATGTCTTAAGCAAAAATTGGATCCTGATTTTTGATGACCAGATCCAAAATAGATTGTGAATTGTACTAAATTGACCTCTTTTTTTTTTTTGTTTTTGGTACTACATTGACTTTAATGCCAAAGAGTTTCACATATTTAATAAGTTTATTGCAAGGAGATGTTTTAATTTTACCCTGATGTATTACTGGAACTATATCATATTCTAATGGTTATAATTATAAAAAACACATTCGAGATTTGATATAATTATGGAAGAACGAAGGTAGCTTCTAAAATTATGAAAAATAGTGTAACTCTTCTTCCGTTCTTTGTTTTTCCCACCTACTCCTTGTCCTTTTAATTTGTAGTCTCGACACAAGTCACACAACGTAACAAGACAAACTTCTTTCTTTGGATCTGTTTACAGATAGGATGGATTTACGGTTATGTGACAGAAGATATTCTGTTCTGACGGGTTTCTACAAGGGGTCGGCTCCGATCTATTCTTCTTCTTCTTCTTCTTCTTGTTCTTCTTCTTGTTGTTGTTGTTTTGTAGGGCTTACAAGAAAAATTGATTTTCCTTATGATTTTTTTTAATGACCATTATTATATTTGTTGGAAGCAACTTTAATATATATAAGTTATCCAAAAATATATGAAATGCAAAGGTGCCTGTTTGTCTAGCATTGGAGCTAACCAACCAGCTGAAGTGGTCGACAATGTCCCAAGACATCTGTACAGTTTTCTATTTTCTGTAGAACTCATGATGCTCTTTTTTATTGTTGAATCTGTGTGGAGTACAACCACAAATGTTGACTATTTGGACCATACTGATAGTGAATGGGGGAAATGAAAACCCAAACATTTTTGCATTAATTGTTTAATTCTAATATGGCTCCTGCCAACCACAGGGGCACGTGCCCCTGCGGGTCCCTATGTGGGTCCGCCCCTGATTGTTCCTGCTATTAGATGATCTGAGATCACTTTGGCAGAATTTGTTTGGTGCTAGTTGGTGGGTATTTATTTTTCAAAATGAATATTCTATACTTTTATTTAAAAGAAATATCAACTAGGTTTCTAGCGTATTTTAGTCAACTACTTTCAGAAATTGCACTAATTCTCCAACTGATTAGATTTTATAGAGTTTTTAATATATCAAAACTGTTCCTAAGATTAATCAGATTCTCAAAACTAAGCCTCACACCACAAAACAACGAAGAGAAATATATCTTTTCTTAATCACAAGTAAAGCTGTTAAACGAAACGAGTTGTGGTGAGCTTAACTCGGTTTCTTGAAGATTAAATTCAACTTGTTAAGACTCAAAAATAAGAATTTTTATATAATTTTCTATTGCTCAAATCATTAAAGCTTGAGCTTGGCTTGTCATATTGATAAATGAACCTAGCTTGAGCTTGTTTACTAATATGGTCGATCCTGAACTTTATAATGCCCTGAAAAAATGTGCTAAATGTACACTTTGGTTGCTTTTAGTTTCTAAATTTTTTAAGTTGATAAAGAAAAATGTTATGTTTAGCCTAATAAAAGCAATGAATTTAAAATGGAATTGAACTAATTTTTAATAAATAAAAGAATGAGAAATATTTCAATAATCACAAATGAAAAGAAGGGAGAAAATTAGGGAGTTAGATCTGGGTGGGAGTGGTAGGGCTGCTGATAGAGACTAGACAATAGGTGATTGAATTGTTTATTTAACAATTTTTTTCAGCTGCTTGGATTGTTTACTAAACAACTAGTACGAATCTCGTGATGTACGAGTAAAAATATTTATTAATATTTATAAATTAAAATTTCTCATTAAATAGTAGATACGTATATTTGATTTTATATTTGCATTAACTTATGGTGAGTATTGGAATGATATATTGCCATGTAAAATAAAGATCAAATTTTTTATATTTTAGTTGTATTGATGCGTTTTCATATCAAATTATATTTCATATTATTGTTCATTTTCAGTTTAGACTGTATTGAAGCGTTATTTGAATTGAAAATTATTCTTACTCAAAATTAAATATTATATTTGCCTAAACTGAATGTCATAAAAAATATGTTATGGATGTTTCAAAATAAAATATTTGCTCCTAAATTGCAAATTTTGTTAAATATTTTTTGGAAGAAAACACGAATAGGATGTTACAAAAAATACAGATTGTCATGGTATATTCACGCGTTTTTACCAAATAAATTTTATCGGAATTATATACCAAAAATATTCTAATCTCATTTTGAAAAACGACTTTTCTATGTAATAGATAAATATATTATTATCAAAGTATAGTGAAAAACGGATATTACCAAAATTGTGTGGGAAAAGAGATCGTTCAACAAACCATTGCAAAAGATGCACTGATAAATTTAACAAGAAAATTAAATTAAAATTTTCACCAAATGATTAGAAAATTGGTTAATTAAGAAAAAAAAAGGATAAGGTAACATCCATTTTTAAAATATGCATTTGTTTTTCCTAAAAAACAGTATATGAAATTGATTTATGCCATGTGTTATTAAAAAATATTTATTATAATAGTAAGTCAAACATTTAATTAAAAAGTCAAAATTACTATTTATGTATTTTTCCAAACCACCTTTTATATTAGTATAGATTTTTTCAGCTGATTGAACCGATACTACCTAATATACAATAATGACCAGATCAAGAATCAATCTTGGAGAAAATTTGTGTACACCTCGAATATCTTCACCTTCCTAGTTAAACCCAACAATACTACCTAATGTACAACAATTACCATATTTATCTAGAATCAATTTTGGAAGAGAATCCGGCAAATCTAGAATGCTATCCCGAATAAAAACAGAGTAGGATTAGGAATGTCTGTGTAACAAACTGTTCGATGATGTAACTATTTTTTAACAAACTCCAAAGGATAGGAAATGCTTTTATATGTTTGTAAGAGATTCATAGTCATATTAGAAGACTGATTGAAAAAGTTAACGATTACAAGACTCTTTCAATTAACTCTTGCCTTACCAAAAAAATAGAAAGGAGAATACCTCGGCAGCCATGGACGACAGAATATCCGAATTGCCAATACCTATACTTCACCACATTCTCTGTTTCCTCTCCCAGAAAGAAGCTGTGAGAACTTGTCTCCTCTCCAAACAATAGGAACAACCCGCCCAAACCTCGACTTCTCCGAAGAATGGTCCCACGACACACAAGAAAAGTTTGTCTCCATCATCGACCGAACCCTACAAGGATACCGTGATCACAACCTCTCCATACACAAACTTCATCTCGACTTATCCAGCCCTGAATCACGACCGGTCGTCTCCCTTCTCGACAAATGGATCCCAATAATGGCCGCCTTCAACATAAAACTGTTCAAACTCGACTTTCTTTCATGTACTCCGCCGTGTTACAACCTTCCCTCGGCAGTGTTCTTAGCTGAGTCCCTCGAAGAACTACACCTGCGCAAATGCAGGCTGAGTGCGGTCCCGCTCGAGAGCTTGCAGTTGAAACGTCTGCGAACGCTCACCCTCAAAGGGGTCAAAGTTGATGATGGGACTTTCGAGAAGATAATGTCGGGATGCCCTTTGCTCAGGCACCTGGAAATTTATAGTTGTCCGGGGTTGAGAAACGTTAGGCTGAACGAGGTGGCATCACCTGGGCTCAACCACTTTGTATTGAATAGTTACCAGAGGATTGACGGGCGTAGCATCGAAGTCGATATCCCGAATCTCGAGACGGTCCGCATCATGGGCCCATGGATTTGGTGTCACCGCCAAAGCACATTCATGTTCTCTCGTCTCACGAGTTTGCATCTCTATAAAGTGATCCTGTCGAGCGAGTCCTTCAACTTGTTATCGTCCGGCTGCCCGACTCTTGAGCACTTGACCCTATTTGATTGCACCGGTTTTGAGGAATTTCATCTTGCAAGTGATTCGGTTAAGTGGTTGACCATCTCGACAAGATATATACCGCTTAAAGGAGTTACGATTTGTGCCCCCAACATTCTCCAGTTTGATTTCGATGCCCCTATTCCCCATGCGCCAGACACATTCTCTGTTGCGACAACTACTTCCAAGGGGTGGGATTCATATGTAAGCCTCTCTTCACGTGATGGTGATCCCGATTTCGACGTCAATTTGTGGTTCCTTAAGCTGAGACGAGTGCTCGGTGCACTAATTGGGTCTCGGATTGATCTGACTCTGCAGATGAACGACTGCCCTCTGAACGTGCCGTGCAGTAATCATCTTCTAAGCGACCATCCACCTGTGGTGGTGGACAACTTGGACTTCAGAACTCGTAAATGTCGCACGGCATCTTGGTACTCGGGATTTACGAATGGTTTGTTTCGTGTTTGTCGACCGAGGTATGTATCGGGTCATACGCTAGTGAGCCAGTCGGACAGGAACAACCACAGACTCACAGAGTTTCAATTCAACATCTTGCTTGCAAATGAGAGCCTCAGGACCGAGCCCTACTTTTGGCGGCACGATCTGGAGCAAGTGCACGTGCACGTGAAATCCATCGATAGGAAATTATGGCAGCCTGTGCAGTGGACGGACCTTTCGGAATTGCAAAACAGGACGTGTGATGGGTTAATATGGCTAGAGTTGAAATGGAGAGATCAGAAGAAGGCATCAGTGCTGCAAACTATCCATACACTCTTGCTTTTCTTGAAAAAATTATCTATACACTCTTGCTTTTCTTGAAATTTAAATATCCGGTTTTCTTCCGCTCCAAGTTGAAGGCCTAGGCCTATTTTGTATGCTCCGATAGTGTTATAAAGTAAGGTCAGGAGCTGGTGAAGTGTGATATCATCAGTATATGCTGAAAAAAACACATTGTGATACTAATAAGAAGAAGAACAAAAATGCTGCACATATATACATAGACCACAAATGACTTTTTTTTTGCCTTGAAAATGGATTTGGAAATTTACTTTTGGACAGGTGAAACGTACAAATGGGTTTAAATTTGTCTTTCAGATGTGTTAATTTGTGTTATAAATACATAATGGGGAACATTACTATTATACTAGTATTCAATACTGTCCACATGCACAAATATAAATAAAGTGCTATAAGATACATATATATATATAATATTAAAATTATAAGTTATATAATGATAATACATTTTAAAAATTTGAACATTAGTAAAACAAAACAGTGCAAAACCATTTAACTGTTATGAAACACTATACTGATTGGAAATATTAGCTACTCATTGTGAAAAACGAAGACCTGTTGGTCACATTTTGGTGAGCAAACCTTGGATAGTTCATGGATGCTCCAAACAGACCTGTTTGGAGCTATTACCTCTTTAGTTGAATATACATGGTGTCTTTCTTTTATAATAATATTACTGTATGTTTCATCTTGAATTATTGTTTATATTTTATCTAACTAGTATCACCCCGTGTATTTGCACGGAAAACAATATCATAGAGGAAAAAACAATAAAAATTATAAATAATAGTAATGGATGCCTAGGACGACCAACTACGTTTTTTTGAGCGGTCAAATTTAATGATGAAACTGTACAAAATAAAATTATTATTAAAAAAAATAACAAAAAAAATATCTTTTAAATATAGAAAAACTAAAATTAATAATTATTTTAACTTCCAAAAAGATAAATTAGACAAAAATGATAAAAAATTCAGAGTTACCATTTGTGAGGAGAGGTAATGCAAGCCTGGGACGACCATCTATGTTTTTTCGAGGCGGCAAGTTTAATGATGGAACTGAAAAAAAAAATTAATATTATTATAAAACAATAAGCGAAAAACAACATTTAAATATATATGATTAAAAAAAATTTGCTACCCCAAAAAGAAATTAGACATTTTGATAATAAATTTAGAATTATTGTTGCTAACGTTGTTTAACAACGATGTCGAGAGTGCAATTTCATCATTGTTCTTTGTAAGATCAATTAAAGGCAGTAAACTGCTCCAATATGCATCTTTTATGTGTTTATTAGCCTTCGATTAACACTCCTCAATTGAACGATCGACTCGAGTTTTTAACTGGAAGTCTATGGAAATCATTTCATTCATCATGTGTTTATTCAATTTTGTTATGTTGAGGTTTGTTAGTGTTTGAATTGTTATGCACTAACAATCGTTTTCAAGTTGCTTTTCTGTTCTTATGTCATTATTTTTTGTTGCATCGAAGGTTTTTGAGTTCTTCCTATTCATTTAATTTTTTTTCATGACTATAATTTGTATGTATGTAGCGTAATTTTTTATTATTATTGTTCTTGTTAACAAATCTTTATGTTGCTTTTTAGTTAATTTAATTGTTATGTATGTATATAAGTACATGTTTAATTTTTGTTTTTTATTTTTGTTGTTCTTCTTAGTCTTACTCATTCATGTTTGAAGAAGAAGAAGATACGAGAAAAGAGAAAAAAGAAAGAAGGTAAAGAGAGATTGAAAAGAAGAGAAAGATAGCAATTATTTTTTAATTTTTGAATTAGTTGTTTAATAAGTAGCTTTCTAGTCTACCACGTTTGGAATTAAATATATTCTCTTTAATTAATTAATTTTTGTTTTAATACTTATGTAGTTATGTCCATTAAGCCATTGAATTTTTTTAAGGTGATTGAAATAGTTCTAACTAATTAAAAAATCTGTTAAACAAACGGGCCATAATATTGGGTGAAATGTGGTTAAAAGTTTGTTAATAATAAATAATTGCGATATAAAAAATTGATAAATAAATTACAATTAAAAAAAATTGATAAATATAATATTGAAATATAATATTGGTTGAGATGTGGTTAAAAAATTGTTAATAGATTGTATTTAAAAAAATTGTGACCGAGTAAACATATTAGTGTAACAAATCTGGTAGGTTTAACAAACTTAGAGACAGAATAGACATACACATACTGCATAACAAAAACTACCACATATTTTCGCATTCAAATCTATAATCTCTTGATGTTACTATGACAAACTCCTCATAGGATTGGAAATGCTTTTATATGTTTCTAACAGATTCAGTCATATTAGAAGACCGATTGACTGTGTCACTCATGTTTTAATAAATTCTTGTACCTCGGCAGCCATGAACGACAGAATATCCGAATTGCCAATACCTATACTTCACCACATTCTCTGTTTCCTCTCCCAAAAAGAAGCTGTCAAAACTTGTCTTTTCTCCAAACAATGGCGCCACATAGGAACAACCCGCCCCAACCTCGAAATTTCCGAAGAATGGTTCGACAACACACAAGAAAAGTTCGTCTCCGTCATCAACCGAGCCCTACAAGGATACTGTGATCACAACCTCTCCATACACAAACTCCATCTCGACTTATCGAGGCCTGACTCACAACCGGCCGTCTCCCTTCTCGATAAATGGATCCCGATAATAGCTGCCCTCAACATAAAAGCGTTCAAACTCCATTTTCTTTCATATACTCTGGCATATTACGACCTGCCCTCGGCAGTGTTCTTAGCCGAGTCCCTTGAAGAACTACACCTGAGCAAATGCAGGCTGAGGCAGGTCGAGAGCTTGCGGTTCAAATGTTTGCGTACACTCACCCTCAAAGAGGTCCAATTTGATGGTGGAACATTCGAGAAGATAACTTCGGGTTGCCCTTTGCTCAGGCGCCTGGTCGTTAATATTTGTAAGGGGTTGAGAAATGTTAGGCTGAGCGAGGCGGCATTCCCTGGGCTCAAGTACATTGAATTGCGTGATTATGAGGGGATCGAAGGGCGTAGCATCGAAATCGATGTCCCGAATCTCGAGACGGTCACCATCCAGGGCCCATGGATTTGGTGTCACCGCCAAAGCGAATTCTTGTTCTCTCGTCTCACGAGTTTGAGTCTCTATTATGTGATCCTATCGAGCGAGTCGTTCGACCTGTTATCGTTCGGCTGCCCGACACTTGCGAGCTTGGCCCTATATAATTGCTCCGGTTTTGAGGAATTCCATCTCACAAGTGATTCGGTCGAGTTCTTGAGCATCTGGGCCGAAGAAATATTTCTTAAAGAAGTTACGATTTGTGCCCCGAACATTGTCAATTTTGATTTCACTGGCCCTATTCCCCAGGCACTGGACACATTCTCTCTTGCGACTACTTCCAAGGACTGGTACTCACGTGTATGGCTCTCTTCAGGTGAGGATGATCTCGATTTCAACGTCAATTCGTGGTTCCTTGAGGTGAGACGATTGCTCAAGGCACTAAGTGGGTCTCGGATTTCTCTGTATTTGAAGATGGACGGCGGCCCTCAGGATGTGCCCTGTAGTGCTGTTCTAGCTGACGAGCCTCCTGTGGAGGTGCAGAGATTGAATTTTTGTACTCGTAAAAGTCGCACGGCGTCTTGGTACTTGGAGTTTACCAGTGGCTTGTTTCGTGTTTGTCGACCGTGTCGTGTATCAGGTGGTAGCCACGTGAGCAGTTCGGACATGAACTACCGGCTCTCGGAGTTTCAGTTCAACGTCTTGCTTGCTAAAAAGAGCCTCGGGACCGAGCCCTACTTTTGGCAGCACGATTTGGAGCAAGTGCACATCAATGGGCAGCTCGTGCAGTACACAGACTTGGAGGAATTGCGAAACAGGACATATGATTGGATAGTGTGCCTTCAGTTGAAATGGAGAACAGGACATATGACGGGACATAGTACTGCGCTCGCTTGCTTTTCTATTTTCTCTATGTGGCTCTTGCTTTTAATCGTTATTACTTATCAGGAGCGGAGCTCGTGAATTTGACAAACTTCTTTCTTTGGATCTGTTTACAGCTGGGATGGACCCATTCACCACCCGGGTCACAGACACCACACCACAAAAGAAGGAAGAGTTTTTATCACAAGTAAAGCTGTTAAACGAAACGAGTTGTTCGTGAGCCTAACTCGGTTTCTTAAAGAATGAGTTCAACTTGTTAAGACTCAAAAATAAGAATTTTTATATAATTTTATATTGCTCAAATCATTAAAGCTCGGGTTTGGCTTGTCATATTGATAAATGAATCGAGCTTGAGCTTGTTTACTAATATGGTCTATCTTAAACATTATGATGCCATGAAAAAAATGTGCTAAATGTACCAGAAATTCTATGGTGCCATAATCTCATGATCCAACGCCTAATATCCATTATAGAATTGATAGAATGTACCTGTGGTTGCTTTTAGTTTCTAATGTTTTTTAGTTAATAAAGAAAAATATTATGTTTAGCCATAATAAAAGCAGTGAAACTTAAAATGGAATTTTACTAAAGTTTTTATAAATAAAAAAAAATGAGAAAAATCTCAAGAATCACAAATGAAAAGAAGAAAGAAAATTCAGGGAGTTAGATCTAGCTGGAGTAGTAAGGGTGCTCATAGAGACTAACAACAGTATTAGTTGATTGAATTGCTTACTAAACAATTTTTTCAGCTGATTGAAATAGTTCTAAATGGTTCTAATAGCTATTAAACAAATGAGGTCATAATATTGGATGAAACGTGGTTACAAATTTGTCAATAATAAACAAATTGCAACTAAAAAATAAATTGATAAATATAATATTGTTTGAGATGTGGCTAAAAATTTGTTAATAATAAATAAATAGCAATTAAAAAATTTGATAAATAGAATATTTGTTGAGATGTGATTAAAAATTTGTCAACAGTAAATAAATTGTAATTAAAATTTTTGATAATGAGTAAACATATTTGTGTAGCAAACCTGGTTAATTTTAACAAACTTTGAGAGTCATATTAAAGAGAGGTTTTATATTAGATAAACTCATGTTTTTAATAAACTCTTGAAAAAAAGAAAAAGCAAAAAAAAAAAAGACCCAGAAAGAGAGGAGAGTACCTCATCCGTAGCAATGGAAGACAGAATATCCGAATTGCCAATACCTTTACTTCACCATATTCTCTGTTTCCTCTCCCAAAAAGAAGCTGTGAGAACTTGTCTACTCTCCAAACAATGGCGCCACATAGGATCAAGCGGCCCCAACCTCGACTTCTCCGAAGAATGGTTCGACGACACACAAGAAAAGTTTGTTTCCATAGTCGACCGAACCCTACAAGGATATCATGATCAAAACCTCTCCATTCACAAACTCCATCTCCACTTATCCACCAGTCCTCTCTCACAACCGGTCATCTCCCTTCTCGACAAATGGATCCTGATGATACCCGCCCTCAACATAAAAGCCTTCAAACTCAACTTTCATTCACCAACTTGCATACTTTCACTAACTCCGGCGTACTACGAGTCCCTCGAAGAACTACATCTGCGCAATTGTAAACTGAAGCCGGTCGAGAGCGTGCTGTTCAAACGTCTGTGCATACTCACCCTCGAACACGTCCAAATTGATGACGGGACTTGCGAGACAATAGTGTTGGACTGCCCTTTGCTCAGGCGTTGGGTCCTTTATTTTTGTGAGGGGTTCACAAATGGTAGGCTGAGATCGCCTGGGCTCAAGCACTTTGAATTGTGTAATTCCACAAGGATCGAAGGGCGTAGCATTGAAATCGATCTCCAGAATATCGAGACAGTGTCCATAAGGGCCCCATGGATTTGGTGTCCCCGCCAAAGCGCATTCATGTTCTCTCGTCTCACGAGTTTGAGTCTCTATGATGTGATCCTGCCGAGAGAGTCGTTCGATCTGTTATCGTTCGGTTGCCCGACTCTTGAGAGGTTGACCCTAGATAATTGCTCCGGTCTCGAGGAATTCCATCTTGCAAGTGATTCGGTCAAGTGGTTGACCATCTCGACAAGCAAAATATTGCTTAAAGGAGCTACGATTTGTGTCCCTAACATTCTACATTTTTTGTTCAGTATTGCCCAGGTGCCGGACACATTCTCTTTCACGACCACAACTTCCAAGGAGTGGGATTCAAATGTAATCCTCTCTTCGTGTGAGGAAGATCCCGATTTCGACGTCAATTGGTGGTTCCTTGAGCTGAGACGATTGCTCAAGGCACTGAGTGGGTCTCGGATTTCTCTGTCTCTGCAGATGGACGGCGGCCCTCATGACATGCCTTGTAGTGCTGTTGTCAGTGACGAGCCGCCTGTGGTGGTGCGGGACTTGAATTTTGCTAGTTGTAAATGGCGCACGATGGTTTGGTACATGGGGTTTACGAATGGCTTGTTTCGTGTTTGTCGACCGAGTCACGTACACGGTGCTAGCCTCGTGAGCGGATCGGACATGAACTACAGGCTCTCTGAGTTTCAGTTAAACATCTTGCTTGCTAACGCGAGCCTCCCGACTGAGACCTACTTTTGGAAGCACGATTTGGAGCAAGTGCACGTCGATGGGCAGCTCGTGCAGTACACAAACTGGTCGGAATTGCGAAACAGGACATATGATGAGATAGTGTGCCTTGAGATGAAATGGAGAGGTCAGACTTCTCGGAATTGCGAAACAGGACATATGACGGGACATAGTACTGCGCTTGCTTGCTTTTCTATTTTCTCTATATTGCTCTTGCTTCTCGGAATATTCTCATGTGTTTTTTCTACTGTCCCCCATTCAGTCAAAATCTAATACTATTTAAAGTGAAGTACAACTTTGTACGATTCTCTAGGTGATCGATCGATATGCCAATCGCAACACTGTCTTCTTTGATGCGAACTGTCTGAACTGTTTGTTTTGTGGCTCTTTGGGATTTGATGATGGAAAATGATTAACATGAGAGGCTTAGATGGCATTCAAGGCCCCCGTACGTGGAGAAATGCAGCATCAATTGCACTAATTCTCCAACTTAATAAATCAACTAGTTTTCTAGCGTATTTTAGTCAACTACTTTCAAAAATTGCACTAATTCTCCAACTGATTAAATTTTTACGGGGTTCTTAATATATCAAAATTGTTCCTAAGATTAATCAAATTCTCAAAATGTAGCCCCACACCACAAAAGAATGAAGAGTTTTTATCACAAGTAAAGTCGTTAAACGAAACGAGTTATTCGTGAGCTTAACTCTGTTCCTTTAAGATTGAGTTCAACTTGTTAAAACTCGAAAATAAGAATTTTTATATAATTTTCTATTGTTCAAATCATTAAAGCTCGGGTTTGGCTTGTCATATTAATGAATGAACTCAAAAATAAGAATTTTTATATAATTTTCTATTGTTCATAATAATGAGTAAATATATTTGTGTAGCGAATCTGGTTAGGTTTAACAAACTTTGAGACTGAAGTGTTTTTAGTTTTTACACGTTTCTCAGAGATTCATAGTCATAATAGAAGACTGATTCACTGTGTAACTCATGTTTTCATAAATTCTTGAAAAAAAAAAAAAGTAGAAAAAGAAGAAAATACCACAGCAGCCATGGACGACAGGATATCTGAATTTCCAATACCTATACTTCACCACATTATCTGTTATCTCTCCCAGAAAGAAGCTGTGAGAACTTGTGTACTCTCCAAAAAATGGCGCCACATAGGATCAACCCGGCCCAACCTCGACTTTTCTGAAGAATGGTTCGACAATACACAAGAAAAGTCTGTCTCCGTCGTTGATCAAAATTGCTCCATACTTCAACACATTCTCTTTCTCCTCTCCAGACCATGGCGCCACAAAGGATCAACTCGCCCCAACAAAGGGTTCAACACTACACAACAAAACTTTGTCTCCGTAGTCAACCGAACCTTACAAGGATACTGTGATCGAAACCTCTCCATACACAAACTCTATCTCGACTTATCGTGGGTCTCACGACCGGTCGTCTCCCTTCTCGACAAATGGATTCCTATAATAGCGGCCCTCAACATAAAAGCATTGAAACTCACCTTTCTTTTATATACTCCAGCGTATTACTACCTGCCCTCAGCAGTCTTGGCAACCGAGTCCCTCGAAGAACTACACCTGAGCAATTGCAGACTGAGCCCGGTCGAGAGCGTGCGGTTTAAAAGTTTGCGCACGCTCACCCTCGACTTTGTCGAAGTTGATGGCGGGACTCTTGAGAAGATAACTTGGGGTTGCTCTTTGCTCAGGCGCCTCGTCCTTACCAATTGTTGTGGGTTGAGAAACGTTAGGCTGAGCGAGACGACATCGCCTGGGCTCAAGCACTTTGTATTGCGTGATTTTGAGAGGATCGAAGGGCGTAGCATCGAAATCGATGTCCCGAATCTCGAGACGGTCAGCATCCAGGGTACATGGACTTGGTCTCACCGCCAAAGCACATTCTTGTTCTCTCGTCTCACGATTTTGCATCTCTATAGTGTGATCCTGTCGAGTGAGTCGTTCGACCTCTTATCGTTCGGCTGCCCCACTCTTGCAATCTTGACCATAGATAATTGCTCCGGTTTCGAGGAATTCCATCTTGCAAGTGATTCGGTCAAGTGGTTGAGCATCTCGACCACAGAAACATTGCTTAAAGGAGCTTCCATTTGTGCCGCGAACGTTGTCTATTTTATGTTCACTGCCCATATTACCCAGGTGCTGGACACATTCTCTTTCACGACCACTACTTCCAAGAAGTGGTACTCATATGTAAGCCTCTCTTCACGTGAGGTAGATCCCGATTTCGACGTCAATTGGTGGTTCCTTAATCTGAGACGAATGCTCAAGGCACTAAGTGGGTCTCGAATTTCTCTGAGTCTGGAGATGGACGGCGGCCCTCTGAACGTGCCGTGCAATGATGCCGACTGCAATCATCTTCTAGGCAACCATCGGCCTGTGGTGGTGGACAGTTTGGAATTTAGTACTAGTAAATGTCGAACGGCATCTTGGTACTCGGGCTTTGTGAATGGTTTGTTTCGTGTTTGTCGACCGAGGCATATATGGTGTTGTAGGCTCGTGAGCAAGTCAGCCAGGAACAAGCACAGGCTCTCAGAGTTTCAGTTCAACATCTTGCTTGCAAACGAGAGCCTCGGGACCGAGCCCTTCTTTTGGCGGCACGATCTGGAGCAAGTGCACGTGAAAACCGTCAATGAGAAAATATGGCAACTCGTGCAGTGGACGAACCTTTTGAAATTGAGAAACAGGACATATGATGGGATAATGTGCCTTGAGTTGAAATGGAGAGGTCAGAAGACGACATAAGTACTGTAAGTGCAAACTATCAATATTGTTACTTCCTTCTCTGGAAATGTTAGCGACTCATTGTGAAAGCCAAAACCTGTTGGTCACATTTTTGTGAGCAAATCTTGGATAGTTCAACTCGTTTGGAGCTATTACCTCTTTAATTCAATCTACATGGTTTCTTTAGTTTATAATTTTAGTCTATGTTTAATATTGTATTATTGTTTATATTTTATCTTAAGGCGACTCATTTTAGTGTACTTGGGTCCTCCACGACTCCCTCTTCACTCTTTGAACCATTTCTCAATTATTCTTATCAGACTCCAGTCTTAGAATTTCATTTGGTACAAAAATTTGGAATTTTATTAAATCCTACTCTAATAACCAACAGTCTCATAACTGAATAACAACTTTGAACATCATCAGCTTATACGAAGCCATTTTCAAATATATTAGTGTTGAGTGCCTTCACTTCACCCCCTAAACCGGTATTTATAACAACAAATTAGGGTCGTGCCAACAAATGATGTGCTGACACGTGTCAGTTTAATAATTATATTATGAGATATGTACCTGTTTAATACAATTTCACGGCGTGCCTAATTTCGATATTCGACTACATATATATGATGGCGCTCAATGCGTAACTTTTGTATTTTCAAGCAAGAAGATGATTAAAAACGGCCCACGCTTATTGACTTTCAAACATACATATATATTAGTGCTTGGATCATATGAGAGATTGATCTCATATTAATGCATATATAAAATGTTACGTTGATTGGTTTCTATTATAAGAAAGGAGGTTGTGTTGTACTTCTATTAATACTTTATATATTTGGGATGGGGTCAACATATATATGTCCTATAAAATAATATTACATGCATTTTTAAGAGACATTTTTCTTATACCTCATGTAACTACAACAATTCACGTGGGAAAATGTTGCTCATTTTTGTTGAGTCTCTCTACGAAAAGGATTATATTATAACTCAAATAAAAAGTACAAGAGGATAACCAACGGGTTATGATATACTGGGGGAATCTGATTCAAGTTCCCCCTCCAAAGCCAACATGCTATAGATCTACTAGAGAAAGAAGAAGAAGAAAATCTAAAAGAACCAAGATACAAAAGATTTACACAATAAACTAATGTCTTCTAAAATTATATTAACATTACAAACAGACCCATTCAAGGTGTTCAAGAGGTGCAACACAGATTTAAGAGCAATAGTACACACAATGTGCTGCCAACCTTCCATAACAGCTTTCTCCAAAGCCCATCTAACCGCAAAAAGGACAGCATCTTCTCAACTACAGGCGTCAAACAAAATGAGTCGTTCGAGTTCAACTCGAGAATATTGAGTTGTGCAGGATACACGAATGATGGGCAATGAGACCGCCGGATATTTTGTGGGGCCCTCTTGAAGCAAGAAATTTTTTGTCTTTTGTGGTTTTCTAATGTTGGTGTTTTCTCGAGGGTGGTGTTTGTAATGACATTCCCTAAGGGCATCTGCATCGCTAAAGTTCATTTGGGCGTTTAAACGCCAATTGTGCGTTCAACGGGATGTGGCTGTTCATTATAGCTGCGGGGCCCTCAATTGTGTTCAGCCCATTTGTTCAACTTAATTGTTTAATCATTTTATTTTTCTTTTTTATATTAATTCATTTTTTATCTGCACCACACTTCTTCTTCTTCTTCTTTTTGTTTACGGAACGATAGAAAATATTATATAAAACGCACAAATGTGCAAAGAGCAGCCACCAGCTGATTACAAAACAACCAACAGCTGAATAGAAACAGTCAACAACTAAAAAGTGGGAGGACAGGACAACAACCCACCTAGAACCGACCCCAACGGGGTAAAACTCAAGAACACTAAAAAACACAATAAAAACAACAACACAAAGGCCCCAACAGGGTATACCGAGTGTCGGGCCCCAACAGGGTAATAAAGGTGACACTCGGACGCACAGAGGCCAACGGCCCAGACGTAAAACACAAATACAACACGAACACTGATACAAAAACACACACACAGATAACACAAGACAACACAATACCGACAAAAACACAATCTAAAAAAAAAACAAAACATCTTATGACGACACATAGTGCCCTTCCCCAGCAAATAAAGCAGATTGAACCAGTAGAGAACCAATCAATCCAAGAAATGTCTGATGCCCGAGGCCCAACTTTCGAAACTGCTGCCGAACGCCTATACAAAAGCCAAATGAGACTAACCCGAATCAACCCACCGCCGACCGAGAGGACAGCTAGCTCCCTGCAACAGTCCCGCACTAGCTCGCCTAACACCACTAGCTGAGCTAATAGGCATCGGGCCCACCAATTTCCCAACACCAGAGAACCTCATGGAAAGAGAGCTACCCGTACCTGCTACTCCCGCACCCCGACGGAATACATCACGGCCGTCGGAGCCTCGATCCGCCCGCCGACCAACACGCCTCCCAACACCACCGCAGGCCGCTGCCATCGCGAGCTCGAGCCCCAAAATCCAAACCCAGAAGCCCATCCTGAACTGATGAACCTTTAAGCATCGACCCGATGCAATTGAGTGGCTAACCATCCAATCAAAGACCGCCGACTTCCAGGGAAACCACCCGTCTCAGATCGAACACCACCGCAGTCACAGCTTGCTGACGACCTCGGGCAGAGCACACATCAGAGCGACCTTTTGCAGCAAAATCGAAAGAGGCGCGATGGCGGGGACGGCCGAGCGGTCGAGGGTGACCACTGGCCTGAGCCGCCCCTTCGCCGGGGAAGGCTAATCGCAGCGAAATTGTCAGTCGGGAACTAGGGTTTTCGTCGGGAACGCAGAGAGTAAAGGAATCAGGGATGAGGGATTGGCTGGTTGCACCACCACACTTCTCAATATTGATAAATACAAATTTTATCTATATCACACTTCCCAATATGCATCAATAATTTATATTTTTTATCCCTCATTCTTTGTCTAAAAAAAATATTTTTTGTAATTGTAGTATATTTTTCTTGTGTAATCTTAATTTAAGTTATTTTAGTTTTGTAATGTTCTTTCATTTTCATGCATTAAAAATTTATTATTATAATTTAAAGATATTAAAATTTATTTTTATTGAGAATATAATATAAAAAATTATTTTGAATGAGTGGATAATGGGTCCCACATATGTATTTAAATGAATGTGTAGGATTGTGGGTGTAAGTTTGAATGAAGAGAGATTTAGTGAAAGATGATGTGGATGAGAGAGTGTTACTTTTTGATTGAATGAATAATTTTTTTGTTAAGGGTTGTGGATGCCCTAATTATGAGATTCTAGAATTTAAATAAAACAAAATGTTATTTATATATTAATAAACACCTCATTATATACAACATTATTTTTATTGAACTATTTATATATATAAGATCTCTAAAATTTTTATAAGAAGTAATTTGATATTTTAAAAATATTATTTTTAAATTTAATATTTCTAGACTAGCAGCGATAAATGTAATATATATAATACATGTTGAGATGGTAACAAATAAATTGCAATCGAATTTATTATTAACGATAAATATAATATTTGGGGAGGTGTGTCTAAAAATTTATTAAATAATAAATAAATTGCAATTAAAAAAATTGCTATTAACGATAAACATAATATTGGTTGAGATGTGGCTAAGAATTGTGAACACTAAAAATAATTGCAATTAAAAAATTTTGAGAGGTAGACATATTTGTGTAAAAAAATCTGGGTAGACTTACAAAAATTTGAGATTGACTAGTAACAAATCTAAGAAAACTGATATGTAGTGCATGAACATTTTCTATGCTGAGAATCTATATTTGTATAAAAAAGAATTACTATTTACTAAATATAGCAAGCAAAACAAATTTCAAAATTTTTAAATAAGGAAGGGATAGAAGTTTAAATAAAATATGGTTGCTTTAACGAACTTATAGGGAAAACAGAAAAAAAAATAAAAAAAATCTTTAATTCAAATTCAATTGTTAACAATTTCCTAATAATTTTCATGCAAATCTTTAATTCAAATTCAAATGTTAACAATTTCCTAATAACTTTCCTACAAAATTGCCCGCATAAATAATGATAGATATGAAATTTAGCAGTATTCAAAAGTTAAGGAGTAATTCAAATTGTGGAGAATTTAAAATGGTACAAGTTTGCATCATTCATTTTAGAAAAAAAAAAATAAAAAATAAAAAATAAAAACTTAAATGAATTTAAAAAATTAACTTCATTTAATTAACTTGCACTAAGTATACCGCCCATGCAAAGAAAAAAAAACACAATTATATTTATGCAATTAAAAAAAGTGTATGCTACAACATTGATATTAATCCATACATCATAGGTACTCACTTAATAAATCTTCACCACATCATTTGTTGGAATAAAAAACTTAATAACAAAAAATAAAAATAAAAATTGGGACTATGTTTACTTGAAAGACTATCAATAAATGTACAGATTTTTAAATTCAATTTCAAATTGAAACTTTAAATTCGTACTCAAATTAAATTGAATAATATAATTTAATTAGAAATGTAGGAGTTTCTTAAAAAAAAAAACTATCAAGCAATTTGCATTGGTTTTCAAAAACACATAAATACTGATTTCTAAAATTATGGGGATTGTTTACTTGATATAGATTATGACCACGTGTACAGATTTTAAAACCATCATGAAATTCAAATTAGAATAATATGATTTAATTAGAATTGTAGGAGTTTGTTAAGAACAAAACCTCTCTGTGAGTTTGCATTGATTTTCAAAAACAAATAAATACGGATTTCTTTTATAAAGAAATCATTTATTCGTATTTCATCATAAATCTCAAAGATGTGTAATTTGTTGATACGTGTTTGAATAAAAATCTTAATAACAACGAGATTTTAAAATCATTACATAAAATTGATAAATGAAGTATATGCATCGTAGAATTGTTAAGTCTCCGTTTATTTTATACATTTGAATACAAATTTTGATAATGAGATTTTAAAATTATTA